TGAACGCTCAATTTTTAAAGAAAGTCTCAAACTCCAAAAATTATAAGTATAAAATATGTTAACATCGTTTTTATTTTAAATCAAATTCTTGTTGTTAAGAAAAATGTTTAATTATAACATAATAATTTTAATTTTTAATGCAAGTTATGAGTCAACCCGAGAAAATTTGTATAATTATTAAATAATAATTTTAATTTTAAAACGGGTTATGAGTCAACTCGATAAAATTATTCCCCTCAATATAAACAAGAAAATTGATAAAAAGAAATCTATAAGAAAACATAAACCCAGCTACGCAAAATAGTAACAATCATGATCTTAGTCCATGAAATCTGGTTTGATTCCCATTTTTTCCAAAATACATTTTTCTCTCTTTTTTTTTCAGTCACACATTCTTCATTAAAATAATATTACACATAAAAAAAATTCTTATTTTTCATCCATACATTTTCTATCAATCTACCATTCTAAAATGCATTTTTTTAATGAAAATGGGGGCTCGAACACCCTTCAAATATTTGTCCTCACAGCCAGATAGAATTCTTCATAATTTAGACTTAATGCAATTAGCGTGACAGAAATATTTTTTAAGTTAAACCGATTCATGATTAGAACTTTGGAAAATAAAAAATGAGCATGACATATGGGACAGTACCAAAATTATCGAATCACGTTGATGGTTGACTAATCATAACTCCCTGATATGTCCCAAAATTCGATTTAGCGATCCTTTCTCTACCATTCTTCAATTTTTTCTAATACTTATTTTTAACCATACATTTTTATCATAAAATATTTTATACGTAAACCTAAAATTCTTTCTTACTTTTAAACCTCACATCCCGAAAAAAATCATTATTCAAAAATTCAATTTTTGCCAAAAAAAACTCTTTTTAATGAATATCAAATAAAAGGCTTTGTCATCGTCGCCCAACTACAATGTTGAAACATCTACCAGACGTATCAACTTGAGCTAAAAAATTCACCCTTTTCTGGCTAGTACTATTTATAAATTCTTTTTCGAATCGATTCTAATTCGACTCAAAATATGCCCAATAAGGTACAATTTTTAAAAAGCTTTACTTTCCACATATACTATAAATTCACATATGATTTTTGTAGTTGATTAAATTTTGTTGAATGGATAAAGATCGACTTTAACTCAAAGAAAAAAAATCATCTCTATTTACCGCGCATCTTGAATCGACAATCTAGTGGTCAATGGTTTTTTTATAACAACTCTTTTGATTAAGCCCCCATTTTTTTCCAAATTTTTTAGTGTTTGAAATAGTTTTTTTCTTGAAAAATGTATGGTTAAAAAATAATAAAAAGTTTTCGATTTACATGTAATATTATTTTATGAAAAATTGTGTAGTTCAAAATAAGAGAGGAAAAAATGACAGAGAATGAGGGCTAAACAAGTGCTAAGTACATTTGGAGAAGTTAGTGATTTCAAGAGCCTTATTCATAACAATTTCAAACTAACCAGTAGTCTCGACTTGATTTAGCAAATGTTTTGTAAAAATACTTAGGATCCTTTTGATTGCAAGATTGGAATTTGGGTGGAAATAAAATGAATTCTAAGGAGTTAAATTGTTTAGAACTTGTTTTCCTAAGAATTGTCAATTAATGTGTTTGATTGGTATAATTTTTTACCTGAAAAATGTTGAAATTTTTTATCTTTTGGTGTTCGTTTGATTTTTTTTTTTGAAAATTGTCAATTAAAAGGACATAATTTATTACAATTGGGGATGTAATTTGTTCCCAAAAAAAAAAAAAGTCGGAAAACCAATTCCCATGGGTGGAAATTGGTTTTCCACAAAACAAAGGAAATTGCAAGCGGGGGGTGGGGGAAAGGAAAAAGAATTGCCAAGAAAATTATTGTAATCAAACAGACCAAAATGTGGAAAATGAAAAATTCCATAGAAAATCAGTCCTTTCAAACATGCCCTTAGTGTATTTTTCAAGTATTATTTACTTATTCATAACTCGTTTATGTTTATTTATAATTTAAACTGGTTATAAACAATTCTCAAACATGCTCAAAAATATTTATTTATTTTTTGTAGTGGAGTATCATATAAAAGTAAGAGTGAATTCCTTTTTTATGACGGCAACAAAAACTTTACCATAAGTCTATTTGATAGTGATTATGATAATTAATTTTTTGATCGTTAGAGGAAAAAGTGGATCCCATTTGTGATTTGAATTAAAAATAATGGCTAAAATAGTGGAATAACAGTTAAAAAAATAGATTTTTTGGTATGAAAAATTGCTACTAAATGGGGGTCATATGTGGACCTCGATAACATCCTATCCTTATCAATTTTTGAAAAGCCACTAAGGGATGTGATTAAATAATGGGAAAAAATATATGTACAGAAAAAATTATCACGGAAGTTGTACAGATTCTCACATAAATTGTGGGGCCTATGTAAATTAAATATTGCCAAAAAATCTGGGACCCACCTGTTTGTGTGTATTATGTGAGAATCATTTTCTGTACACCTAATGCAGTCCTTAAATAATACATTAACATCATTCGTAATTGAAGCGTCCATTCTACTAAATTCAAATATCAATTCTGAATTCAATTCAATATGTCTACTTGAACTCATGAAAAGTTGAGATATATTTCGTCGTTTCTATATTGTGCATTAAGTCCCTGTTTGAACCCTATTCTATAAAAAAAATATTTTTCTTTAAACCTATTTTCAACAACACATTCTCTTAATAAAATAATTTTATACAAAACTCCTAACTTTTGGCTTACTTCTTAACTACACACTCTCAGAAAAACAAAATTATAAAATTTATTTCTTGGGATTCAAACAAATATATATATCATTATTAATTATTACCGTTTTCAGCTGAGAACAAGATACTTCCTTGTCCTTGTATGGCTTCATGCTAGGTTTGAGCATCGGGTGGGTCGGTTTGGGTATTTCATTACCCAGAATCATCTATTATATTTCAGATATTTCGCAAATGAAACTATTCAGGTCTTTATAAATACTGGAATCAAACTCAAACTCAAATCGTTGGTTCCAGTTCGATTTCGGTCCTACCCATGGTATTTTTATATGCATTTATTTAATAAATATTTCATATAGACCTTTTTGGGACATATACCTAATATGTTACTACTAAAAATATTTGTACAATGGAGAAAATTCAGTTAAAATTTTTTCAAGGAGCAAAATATTGAATACTAAAAAGCCACGAAAATAGGATAATATAAAAAAAATGAAATTATAATTTGAGAACCACGAACTCTATATTAAATACATAACTAATTTATTATAAAAAAATTACGGTCCACGTATTGAACTCGCTATGTTTGATAAAAAAATATTTAAAAAGAGAACCACGAACTCAAGATAACAATAACGTAAAACATAGTGCAAGCACTGAATATATCAAATTCAATTGCCATGTGTTATAAAAATTAAAAAAAAATCACTTAAGTTTATTAACAAAACAAGAAAGTAAAAAACTTGAATTGTAAAGAATAAGGCTACGGTTGGTTTGGTGTTTTTGGGCCATTTTACGTTTTTCATTTCCGAAACCATGTTTGGTCCGTCATTTTCGAAAATATAATTTTGAAAACGAGTTAAAATTTATAACTAAAAACGCAAAACGATTTTTTATCATTTTGAGCGTTTTCAGTTATAAATTCCCAAGACGCCCAAAACCCGCCATTTTCGATGAAAACTATGGGAGGAAACATCCACTGTTGCAGAGGTTAGTGAAAACTGTGACGTTCCAATTCTTTCATTTGCGGATTCTAGTCCATCGAGGGAGGCAGAGCGTTGGCAGTTCCTCATTCAAGCTGCGGCGAGGACACACAAACAAATGAAGGCAGTGGCTAATATAATTCAATCGTGGAGGTGGCGCAGGGTGAATGTAATAAATGAGGACGCAGATTCTGCGGCTAGTGGAATCAGTCCTTATCTTTATGGTGCTTTACAAGCAGTTGATGTTGAAATAAGCAATCTTCGACCAATCCCTTCTTTTGCTGATTCCTCTTTGTTGCACAAAGAACTCGGAAATCTGAAAAGAGAGCAATGTAGAGTGTTTATTGTGCATACTTCTTTAGAACTTGCGACGCGTGTTTTCGGAGTGGCTAAGAAAAAGAAGATGATGGAGAAGGAATATGTATGGAATGCCACTGATTCCATTTCAAGTTAGGTGCATTCCATGAATTTTTCCTTAATTTCCTCTATGCAAGGTGTGGTAGGCGCAAGAAGCTCTTTTCTTGAGATTGGACCTCATTTTCAACAGTTTTTCGACAAGATTTTATGGTATCTTTGACTGGAAGTACCCCGAGGAAAAGCATCACGAGCTTGGAATCTTTGCATTGCAGGCTTATGATCATGAGCCTGGAATCTTTGGCCGAAAGTACCCCGAGGAAAGTCGTTTTGAAACCGAAAATGAAAAATGAAAAACTAAACCAAACGCACTCTAAACGTTTTGATTCATCAACTTACATAACAACCTATTTTTGAAATTTCTGATTTATAAAAAGTTCAAATTGTAAACATTAACATATAATAATCTCTGAAATGCAACAATTAGATATAACACAAGATGTTAAAAAAAAAGAAAAGAAAAAAAAGTAAGAGCCAATCTTATTTTTCAGGGCTAGAGTTTAAACTTTTAAATTACTTATTAATAAAATTGGGATTTTTAGGTTATATACGTTTTTCCAGCTTATATATATACATGTATGTATGTATATGCATATCGGTTCCAATTGAATACCCATGGTTCTGGTTCAAGAACCAAGAACCGAATTGAACCTAGTCGGTTATTAGTTTTCGTTTCCAGTTCTTACTTATTTTTTCGAAAAATCGGACTGAAATCTTCGATTTCTAATTGGAAGATTCGATTCCAATTAAAATGCCCAGCCTACTTCATACACTTGGCCACCAACAAAATAAGAACGAAAAATAGTAATTACTAAAGAGTATTTTATTTATCAATTTATATTTGCCCATATGATTTATCGGCGAAGATTCCACATCAAGAACCGCATGGGACAACTGTTGGGGAAGACCTATTTCCAATTATTCGATTGACATGGTCTATGACGAACTAGTCGAACCAGAAGTTTTATGAAAAAACACCTGCAGACGACGACGTTTTCGACCGTGCTTAATTTCTATCTTTCTCCTTAGCTCGAAGTTCCACGGTCTACAAACCCTAGGTTCGTATGAGTTCTATTAACCTCAGAACTGGTCACGAAGATTCAACATCTTGGTGGAATGTTTAATTGCATTTTATGTAACTTTTGCTGTTATTTTTTTGGTTAATTATTGTCTTGAGTTTGATTGGATTATAAAGATTGAATTTTTATGCGATGTGTGGAAAAGATGCATTAGTTGTTTTACTTCTATAACGTATATGTTTAATTTATCAGTTACTTGATAAGATTTTATGCTAATTCGATTTGTTCATTACACCCGCAAATTGCGCTTAATTGATATTGGAGCTTGCCTTGTATCAACTTAGCTCGAATTGCAATAGCATATTTTGATATTTTCAATTGAATTATTTGTCAGCTGAATCTTCTCATTTTTCTCAATGCATTACTGGAAAACAGATAACGAGAAGATAGTATGACAATCTCATGCTCCCTTCTTTTTCAGTGGCTAAATTTTTGCATTTATTTTATCAAAGAGATGGGAAACTGGAGTTAATGTACAAGTTGAAATTATAATGGCCTCCTCAAATGTAAATTCATTCCTCCAACACACTCCTAAGTCCTAAACACATAAGCTTTTATTTGCCATTCCAGCTTTAAAGTGGCATCTCGATTAACGACTATCATCTTTATTTGGCCAGATATCACTAAATCAGATTTACATACACAGTCATTTTTCTTTCTTTGCAGTTTTTTGAATTTCTGGAACTCATTTGATCAGAAGGTTTATGTGGAGATACGGAGCATGTCTTTAATTAGTTCACATATCAGTTCATAATCCTGGCTGAATAATCACTTGGGCGATTATTGAGATAAAGTGCAGCTCCTTTTTGAACCAAGTCTTATCTCGGTGGTCAAGTGAAGTTAAGTTTGAAAATGCACAAAAATTATTGACTGGGTGTTACCTGCATCTGTCTATACTTTTGGAGAGTCCTTTTGGAGATTGGTTTGAGTTGGAATGGTTAGCTCTGGTAAAATTTTTTAGTTGGAAGTACCATGCTGTGAAGGTGTCGCGGCTGTATAAATTGGGTAGACAGAAGGAAAATGCTAATTTATTCAAAGAAACTTCATATTTTTTGAGTCCCACCTCTTTCTTGCTATATTTAGTTGAAGTTTACTGGGATGTTAAGGTGTAAAGGGGGTGTTAATTGTTGATATAAGGAGAAATTATGGAACAGGTCTCAGGAAAAAAGTTTCCTCTCGATGCTAAAGATTATGAGTTATTTGAGGAAGTTGGAGAAGGCGTCAGCGCAACTGTTTACAGAGCTCTCTGCATTCCTCTTAATGAGATAGTTGCAATCAAAGTTCTTGATCTCGAGAAGTGCAACAGTGACCTGGTATGTAATCTTCTTAATTAACTTGAACAGCAACAATCATGGATTTACTTTGCTTTATTCTATATATGCATTTTGCATATTTTTCCAAGGGACTGGATTTGATTCAAACTTTGTTTTTACCACATAGCTAGATAGTGCAGCAATCATACTAATGCTTTAAACTATGATAGTTTGGTTGAATTATTATGCTTGTGAGTATTCAAAATAGATATCAGCTGCTGCTTTCTCCACCTTCAGTAAGTGTCATACCTGACTTTTATAGTAATATATTAAAGATAAATTTAATACCAGTAGATGTGATTAATGTATCAAGGCTCAAATAACCATGGCTGTATTAGAGAAAGCACTGACTGCATAATTTTTAATTTCTGAAAATCAGATAAAATTACTAGAAAAAAATTGTGCAAGTACCAAAAAAACGATTTCACATATGTCGCACATTGATGGTGGGTGAATATGTGTTTCTTATGAGTTCTGGATATGGATAAGGCATAAAGTTCTGTACGGGTTAATGTTTCTTGTCTTATAACAATTTTACCACATGTTTGAACTTTTTGTCATAGCAAATTTGTTCCCCTTCTGTTTTGTAACTTTTACTTATTGGGTGTGATATGACTAGGATGATATCCGCCGAGAGGTACAGACAATGATTTTGATTGACCATCCGAATTTAGTGCGTGCTCACTGTTCCTTCCCTACTGGCCATAACCTTTGGGTTGTAATGCCGTACATGGCTGGGGGATCTTGCCTTCATATAATGAAATCATCTTTTTCGGACGGTTTTGAGGAGCCTGTTATTGCTACATTATTACGCGAGGTCCTCAAAGCTCTCGTGTATCTTCATTTTCATGGACACATTCATAGAGATGTGAAGGTATGGGGGTCTCGCATGGCCATTTTTTGCTTGAAGGAAAGGCTATTTTGAATTTCTGTTGTGCTATGTATTTTCTATCCTCCATTTCCATTCGAAAGCACGTGTACATCTAATTGGATTTAGCTTGTGGATGGTTATCTATAAGATCTCTAATTATTTTAGTTTTATTCGGTAGAAAATAAACTTATTTATGTTGCTAAATGTAATTTACTCTCATAGTCAGTTGAGACCTATCTCTCGTGCTTTTTACTTTTTCTCTAAATGGTTAAGAAGTTACATCCATAATAATGGTAGAAGTTCTATCCTCCTCTGTAAGCAGTTTTTCTCTTCTTCCTAATTTGGTTCTGGGAACATACTAATTTACATAATTTTGCAGGCTGGGAATATACTGATTGATTCTGATGGTGCCGTTAAATTAGCAGACTTTGGAGTATCTGCATGCATGTTTGACACTGGTGATCGCCAGCGTTCTAGAAATACATTTGTTGGAACTCCATGCTGGTAGGTGTTCCCTGTTGCATTTTTTTACTTATATTCTATTGGAAAACAGTTATTATTAACTTCGATATTTTTCTTAAATTTATATCAGGATGGCTCCTGAAGTTATGCAGCAATTGCATGGATATGATTTTAAGTGAGTATTTCCTCAGACAATTTTAATCTATTTCTTTAATGTAATTCACTTTCTAAGTTCTTGTGCAATATAATTTGTATAAACAGAGCAGATATCTGGTCATTTGGAATAACAGCTCTTGAACTTGCTCATGGTCATGCACCATTCTCTAAGTATCCACCTATGAAGGTTGGTAGTGTCATTTACCCTAACGACCCATTTGCACTGTTTGTACATTATATGTTTCATCAATCATTCTACACTTCCTTTAAGTGCAGGTTCTTCTGATGACACTGCAAAATGCACCACCAGGGCTAGACTATGAGAGAGACAAACGTTTTTCGAAGGTTTTTCTTGTTTTATGAGACTTTTATTTTTTTGAAACTGGTATCTTACAGGACTTGATGAGTTTAATTTTGTATCTTTTTTCTTGAAATTGCAAACCGTTTTCAGTCTTTCAAAGAACTAGTTGCTGCTTGCTTGGTGAAAGATCCAAAGAAGCGTCCCACTTCAGAAAAGCTTTTAAAGCACCATTTCTTCAAACATGCACGCTCCACTGATTATTTAGCCCGTACCATCCTTGATGGCTTGCCCCCTCTAGGTGAACGGTTTAGGACGCTCAAGGTATTATGCTCATCTCATGCATTTTAACGTACTTCTTTCTGTGGAGACAAATTGTGTTGATTTCTCTTTTTCTGCAAAATCAAATGTTATTTCAGGCAAAAGAAGCAGATCTTCTTGTTCAAAATAAGGCATTGTATGAGGACAAGGATCAGTTATCTCAGGTGATAAATCGACTATGCCATACATTACAAATTTGTTGGGAACAAAGCCAATTTGCTTAACACTAATTGAGAATTAGAGCTTGCAACTGTATCCTATCTGGCCATATTGAATGCTAATATATTATAAGATGAGAAATGCTTTTAAGTGCTGGAATATTTTCTCATGACAAAGGCTGAGAAACAATCGGGAGCATAATTTAATTTCATGCGAATTCGCACTGTGTCATCTGTGGCTCATGCTTGTCGGAGTCCATGTTTGACTGGGATTGTAAAATATATGCATATATTGCAAAATACCTGAATCCTACCAAGGAAAAAAGGTGTAGTACAACAGTAAAGAGGAAAACATGCAGCTACCAAATTATTGTCATCTGCAGCTGCATAGAATGCTGAAAGTTTATTATGGATCTGAGTAACTTTCCAGCTAATAAAAAGAAGTCATGGTGCTCTGCATCCCCCCTGTACATATGAACTACACGTTTTAACTTGTCAATATTTCTGTGCTTCTCAAATAAAACATTGGACGATGTCATGACACTGCACTTTGCATGTAGCTGTCATTTTGCAGATATAAACTGTTTTTTGGTAGATTTAACTTTGGGAATCAGAAATGTATAAGTCTGATGTCAGGTAATTATTTCATGCACAAGACACATATTTGCAACATTTGATGGTTGGATGACTCCGATGTAACATTCGACTGGATATGCAACTTGAAGAAATTAAATGTCGAAAGCGCATCAGTGAAGCTTTTAGCCAAAAATGGCCTATAATTGGGAAAGAAGTTCAAGGAAAATTAGAATACTACAGGATGAATATGAGGGAGTGACATCAATAAAGAACGGGCCACTCCTTTTCTATGTCATATGCCAATTTAAGTTTTATATTAATCATTGCTTTGTGTGTGAGTATATAATGGTTTCTGCTTCTGTAGATAAGCTAGATTCTCCTGTTGTTGCATGTAATTTAATATTTACTTTATTAACTGAACAAAATTGGAAAAGATGCAATAAATGTATGCATAGAGTTTGTAATATGTTTTACAATATTATCAATCTTGAATTTTCTACATCTTAGTCAAACCTTGTCCTGAGCTGATCTTAATGTGCAGCAAGAGTACATCCGAGGAATCAGTGCCTGGAATTTCAATCTGGAGGATCTGAAGAATCAAGCTGCCCTTGTATGCTATTAGTCCACTTATCTGTTGGTAATATGGATTGGATCCTTTGAATGCCGCTTAGTAAGTGAGCATTTTTCACGTTGTTGCCTGCAGATTCAGGATGACGCTATTTCAAATTCAGAAGATTCAAGTGTGAGTGGGAAGCACAGGGACGGGCAATATGACGCTGGTACTCTTGAGGGGGCGTCCCCTGGTCGGAGCAATCATTCAAATGCTGCCCAGCAGCTGGAGGTATGATTGTTATTCAGGTTATAGTCCCATCTTCCATACAATTCAATACTTTCCTTCAGGCTCTCCCCTTCTATCTTTTGCTCTGTTTTCTGGTTCTCCCTAAATCCTGTGTAGTCATCTGATATGTGCAGTTTAATCTTTATTTTCTCAGGATGGACGCAATGACATTCATGTTCTGGAGAATTCACTTGCTGCATTTCCTATAAAACCTCTTCAGGCGCTCAAGTATGGTCCCTCTGGTTTGCAAAGATAAAAACTTCGTTTTTATCATTCTTGGATTGAATATCATACATTTATGTAACCATCTATTGCAATCTATATCGAAATCAATATCTCCATCTGCTTGCTGTTACCAGTCAGCAATTTTCATGAATGTGTTATGTATGTGCTATATTACTGACTCTTCTATTAAGGCAGAAATACATCTTTTCGATCCATGCTCCTGAGTGATTTACAAATGAATTAAAAGCCCAAGAAGAATGAGAATACCTGTGTTGAACAAGGGATTTTATTCGACTCTTTCCACCAAGTCTAAGTAACATTGTGTATCTGCACAGACCAAGTAGGGAGGGTTCTGCACATGTGTGGGTATGGAGCTCACGCATTGCATGAGCATAAAAGGAAATCTGGCCAACTTATGCTCCATCAAAAGTATATTTTACCAATCCATCTTTGATTTGCCTGAAATTCATCTATCTGCTACATAACAAATTCTTAGTTCCCTGGTGTAGGAGTGCGTTCCATTTCCTATTGAACATCTCATCTATCAACATAACACACACACACACACACACACACACACACACGTATCTTGTATGCTTATATTAAACAAATAAAAGTAAGGGTTATTAATTTACATATTATATGGCCTTTTCTGCTTGAACATGATCATGTATTGCATAAGGACTTTGCAGATCTATTTATAGATTTCTTCTTCTATCTCCTCAATACATGCTCATAACTCATTGAACTAAGTTGATGAGCTCTTTACAAATAATCTATGTGTGTGTCCAACATTTTTAGTAGCTTGTTACTTAAGAAAATGATTTATTTGATACGTCTTTGAGTGGAAAATTATTGCAAAATTTTTTATTAAATGCAGAGGTTGTTTTGATGTATTTGAGGATGACGTGGATGCTGGTCGTCGAAATTGGAAAAATTCTGTTCGCCCAGACACTGAACAGCAGCGTCATCTACAAGCATCAGCAAAAACTGAGCATCAAGAAACAGGAAGAGACGATGGTGGAAGTACTGGTCAAAGTGGCTCCTTGCCACCACCTGCTATTTCAGGACATAAATTTTTTTCAAGCGGTTCACTGTTACAGGATAATGTTCAATCTCCTAAAAAAATTGTAGGTGATGGAGACAGGTATGGTCATCTTCATGGTCCATTGTGTCAGTTCTATTTTACAACTCCTGAATGGTCTGTATATTTCTGATAAATAATTGCATGCTTTCAATTCTAAGAAGTAAATTACATGGTCTCTAGTGTTGGATATATGTGTGTGATGAATAATTTTTATGCTTTCAATTTTTAAAGTAAAATTACATGGTCTCTAGTGTTGGATATATGTGTCTGATGAATAATTTTTATGCTTTCAATTTTTAAAGTAAAATGCATTCTTTTCCTCTTGCAAAAGTTGAACTTTCCTTTGAGGCCTTCTGCACACCGTATTTACTGCTCCCTCTTTGTCAAATTTTGGATCAACTCTTTCGTCTCTATGAAAATTAACTTCTTTTGTAGTAAGTTTGTATATGGTAATGAATCAAATGCTTCCACTGACATTTTTTAGGATTTGAGCCGCATCCAAGATTTAACAAAAACACAATTGTCACTGTCAATGTCGATTTTAGTCTTTGAATCTCTTAACCTGAATTTGACCTATGAATATGGTATTTTGGTTG